ATCATTTCTGAGCCTTGGAACTTTTTTAAGATTTTATTTTAATATTTCTTTTTAATTTGCATATAATTTTTACTCCCATGGAAATTTAAATACAAAATTTGAATTTTTTTAAAGAAACCAAAAAATTAAAATTATTTTTTATTTAATTTTATTTGTGATTTCCATAATATTTTCCATTTTCTTCATTCGAAATTGCAGAACATTTTTTTAATATTAGGATTCAAAGTGCAATATCTTAATTTTTTAAATAGTCAAAGCCTTAAAAGTAATTAAAGAAAAAATTAAATTAATTCACTTAATAAATTCATGCAATTATATTTATAGCGAAATATTTTTATAATAATATAAATGAATTAATATATAAATATATTAAAAATGTATTAATTATAAAAAATTTGTGAAAATCTTAATTTAATTATTAAATTATTAAAATATTTTTTTAATTGTTATAAACATAATCAAAAATAATTTGTAATTATATGTATCCCTACATAAGTTATTAAGACGCAGTAAAATGAATGTAATTAAGTAATAATTAAACAAACAAACTGTATTAGGTTAAATATGTTTATATATATTTAAAATAATTGTAAATATTAGCCATTAAATTTATACAAAATATTTTAGAAATACAAATCACAATGTCAAAAATATCAAAAAATTCCAAAATGAATTGTAACTCTTACTCTAACAGTATTTTTATTTAATTGATTATAAATGTTAACCAATTATAACATTTCAATTTACTATATAAAAATATTAATATTTGAAATTACTTTTGAATAAAAACAAAATTTTAATTATATAAATATTATATTTTTTTTGTATTTGTAACGATCAACATAGTAGTAGTTCATATCTCTAAGAAAAGATTAATAAATGAAATAAATGTCAAAATAGTAACAAATTTTAACTTATAAATTATATAAAAATAAAATTATTTTGTCTAAACAGTTCATTGTTATTTATTTAAGTCCTATAAGAAAAACAATATTTATTGAAAAATATTTTAATTAAAAGAAGAACTTTAAAATGTAAAAAAACTTAAATAGAACTTTTTGTAAATTTATTTAATAAAATCAATATAAAAAAATAAAATTGTTTTTAATTTTCATTTTTAGTTTAGTTTCAATTTTTTTATAAAATGAATGAAACTATAATATATTATATAAAATTATATAAAATTAAGTGTATCTTTAGGCTAACCATATAGCTGTTCGGATATAGTTCAATATCTATCATTAGTGGTCTTTTGAAACATATCTTGATATAATTGCCCAAAAATTACATACATTAATTAAATTAAATTAAATTAAATAAACTAACAGATGTTTCCACAGATCACTAATAATGAATATTTGACGATATCCAAATCAGTTCTAAAATTGACTTTATTAAATATTTTTTTAATTTCCTTACTATTTTATTTACCCGGTTACTTATTTTACTCCGTTTTCCTATTCAAAATTGATTTCCTGTCATAGGACATGCAATTATTAATCTCAAGTCATAAAAAATAATAATATTAATAATAATAAAAAATATAAAAAAGTTATTAATAACTTTAAGTTTCAATATATAATTTAATTTATTATCTTACTTTTAATACGAAATTTAAACTTAAGCCTCCCCTAAAATGTTTTAGATCGTTTAACACTAGAGATAATATACTTTTTCATATAAATATTTTTATATAGACTCTAAATAAGTTTTCATCCAACCTTAAATGAAACTCTCTGTAGACGCCACTGAAAAATATAGTATCTTTCCGAAGGATGTTTATTGGTATACGAATATATACTATTATATACTATTATATACTATTATATACTATTTAAGTTATTTAGATAAATCGTTTTTAAGATATTAAGAATTTTCAGCTCTGTTTTGTCTTTGACACTTTTTGTCACATAAAGAAAAATATAGAAAATAGACACCCCCGTACTTTAAATTGAAATAATTAATAGTTATAATAATATTAATAAATATTAATTACTATGGTACGAGTATATTATTTTCATAAAAATTAATCAATCAATATTTTTTGGTATATATGTACAATCATATAACTATATGAAAATGTCCTGTTCTGGAGCTCTTATTGGAAGTACTATCCAACATTCTTTAAGTGTAAGTATTGTTTGATATTTTTGATAGCTTTTAACATACATTTGATTTAAAATTATTTTCAAATAATAAAAATCTTTTTATTATCAGTTAAAATCCTGACAGGATAGACTTTACCAACTATTGACAATTGAATCCTGTTTTGAACTTTCTTCAGATCACTCACCAGTTGTTCTGTATTACAATATACCTGCTTCAATTCCATCCAAAAACTATATATACGATCACAAAACTTATTGAGACTCATTTCGTAAGCTGATTCACAAAAATTTAAACGCTTAAATTTCTCTAAAACTCAGCCTGAAATCGGCAGTGCGTTACTCTATCTCCATATTACTATAATTCAAGCAGCAGCTGACTCAACTCCAAAAACAAAAACACCAAAAACTACTTAACAGTATCACATATCAAAAACAAAATAAAAGAACATGAACAATTTAGAAAAAAAGGGCAAGTTTTAAGATGCCCATAAGTAAAAGCTATGGTCTGTGGAAAGCAATGAAAATCGGTAACCCATCAATATTGCACAAACCGCCTATTAAAACCTCAACTAATGAATGGGCAAGAACTCCTCTTGAAAATGCTGAAGAACTAGCACGACGCTTTTCAACAACTTATACAAATCTTAAGTCTACTGATGTTGTCCTATATGAATAATACTGTCAGGGTAATATCAAAATTAAAAACACAACCGATTACCTACGAAGTATTCGCCATTCCCAAACCTAACAAAGATTCAAGTTTACCCAACTCTTACAGGCAACTTAGTTTATTGCCCGTTCTTTCTAAACTACTGTTGAAAAACTACTGTTCGCCAATGTTACCTACCGATTTACTTTTACTACTAAAGAGCTATATAAGTGACAGACAATTTTACGTCAAATTCTTTGATGAAGAATCAAACATACTGTGAATGAAAGCAGGTGTATCGCAGTGACGTGTAAAATTGGGACCAATTTTATACATCCTGTACACAGCTGACATCCCAGTTCCCACAACTGAATGCCAAATGGTAACAACTTTTGCTGACGACTTAGTATTGCTCACATCCAACGAAAACATGACAATAACGATTTCTCAACGTTAAAATCACCTTGATATTGTTTTGAACTAATTCGATAAATGGGTCATCCTTACTAACACCGGTATGACATTATACAAAAAAGAAAAATACTAACTATTGATTCTAGCACAACCTTAGAAACCACACATAAATCTAAAACGTAATTAAGCGAAATTCATATTCTCTCAACTCTAATGCCTACTGGGTAGAAAATTAATTCTCTCTACTGAAAAGAAGCTCCTCATATATAAAGGAATTATTGTTTCCATTCCGAGTTATGGAATCGAAGTTTGGAGAACAGCTGGTACATCGAATGTACAAAAAATTACAACGTCTACAACCAAAAATTCTCCGAAACATTGTCAAAGCAGAATGGTACACGTCTTAATCAAAAAAACGCAGAATCATTCATACAAACCGATTGTACTCCCACTTAAGCCACGAAATATAAAGTCTATCAGCCCCCGATTTGTCAACCCAAAAGTGGCTCAAGCATCTCTTCCCATCGGAGCTAACCAACAGATAAATGTGATGAATGTATTTTTCTTCGTACTAATTTAGAATTATAAATTTTTTTCCCACTTTTCGTTAAATAATATTATATTATTAATAAAAAAAAGAACAATAATACAATAATTATAATAATACAAATTTAAGAATAACTTGATAAAGTATAAGTCATAGATTTAAAGTTATTTTATATATTATGGTAATAATTATATTACAATAGTTTTTTTAAAAATTTACGAAGAATCAGGTTTTGTTCTGAATATAATTTTAATTTAATAATAATTAAAATATTAAATAAATAAGAAAAATATTTCAATAGAAGGTAAACGAAAGATTTTTTGTCAAATTTGTATTAACATTTAACTTTGGGAAGTCGAAGAAATGAAAAAAATAGTTTAAGTGAGAAGATTGGGAAGTTACATTATTTTAATTATATAATTAATATTTCAAATAAAACTCTCGTATGAATTCAATATCAGTTTCTTTTCTTTATCTCTTTGCACTGAACTTACTCTCTTCTCTCTCCATTTTGTTATAAAGTTTATAACCAAGAACGTCTATCTACTACCCACATTAGATAAACATATAGGGCAAACTCTATATCAGCTGTTAGCAACATTGCATCGGAACCGTTTTTCGTAGGTAAGCTGTTGTTTTTATTATTTTCAACTTTATTTAATCTATGCCAGAAAAGTATAGGATAAGACTTTGAGTTGATATAGGTAGAAATTAATATTTATGTTGCAGTGTCAAAATAGATATATAAACTCTCTTCTCTCTCGATTTTGTTATAACAAACTCTATATCAGCTGTTAGCAACATTGCATCGGAACCGTTTTTCGTAGCTCAGCTGTTGTTTTTATTATTTTCAACTTTATTTAATCTATGCCAGAAAAGTATAGGATAAGACTTTGAGTTGATATAGGTAGAAATTAATATTTATGTTGCAGTGTCAAAATAGTTGTTGTTTTTATTATTTTCAACTTTATTTAATCTATGCCAGAAAAGTATAGGATAAGACTTTAGGTTGATAAAGAAATTAATATTTATGTTGAAGTGTCAAAATAGATAGATTTCAATATATTTTTATAACACTTAATATTATATCGTCTTTTTGTGCTATGCTAAAGTTCAATTGCTCAGTTTTTCATATGGTTAGAATGTATCAGCTGATTTCTATAGTAGCTTTACTTTTCATTGTATCCTTAAAACTAGTATTCTTTGATTTTATTTTGAATTGACTTGGTAATAATGTGCATTGTCATATATACAATATCTGTCAAATTGAAATATATATTTAATGAACGTAGTTTTAAGTAAGTTTTTTCGGAAAGATGTAAAAGTTGCAGAACAAATAGTAAATTTCAAATAGTAAAATAAACATAACTAAAAGCCTGGACAAAACTTTTATTTTATGTAAGTGATGCTGTAGTTATTTATTAAATATATTTCTAAAACTCCTTAAAACTTTAAAGCATTCCAAGTGGAAGAGTTTCCTCATAATTGTGTGATTTATATAATTAAAATATATGCAAATATATAGTGATATATGTACTTATAACACAGTGGGCCAGAGTCAGCCTAAGGGTATAGCAATATCTCGGAATTGAATTCTATATCCAGCATTTATATGTATATTTGTGTATCTAATCACATTTAATTAAGCTTGTATATGCATTTGATTTATTCTGTTTGATGTGCTCTCTTTGATTATAATAAATAATGGCGAATTGTTCTAGGAACGTGAATTATGTAGTGCATAGGTACATGCAACTGCAGCTTGCATTAATGCGTTGATGCCTTGTACTCTGTGGATTTTGCATTATTCGAATATCCAAGCTAAAATGTGTCATTAACAAAAGCAGATACTTGCGTGCAACAACAAACCTAAGTAAAAACTAAAAATAATTTTCAAACTTTAAAGCGCATAATTAGAAGCACACAAACGGAATAAAACTGCATTCTAAACATGAGCACATAATTGACATGAATATTGCAGTTGGCATTAATAAAGTTGGCAAATAAAGCGCTTCAAATAACCACATCCGTTGAGCAAAAACTGCTGAAATCAAACCAGCCATATAGGCGAAGCGAAGCCTGGAGTTCTGAAAATATCAGAATATCAGAAAACTGGAGTTTTTCCCACTGTCAATTTTTTGGATTTACTATTAATTACTGTATGCAGCCTTCACTCTTTGCGGTGCAGAGGACTTTAACATATATAATGAATTTAATTTAATATCATTTGCCTGCGAACCAATTTCATTTTGGTCGAGGGAATTCGTAGAAAAGGGAATTCATTATTTAGTTAATTTCTAATTTAATTTTATGTGCAACTGCCATTTAAAGTAATTACATTTTTTTGTAATAAAATTGCAATTACGCCTTCAATTAGCAGCGAATTTGTTGCAATGCAGTTGACATGCAGTCTTCGCTTTTCAAGGCAATATTTTGATGTGCTTCTAGTTTCCGAAACGTAATCTGTCAAGAAATAGTATTTATGGCATTGCCTGTCATATCATTTCTGTCAACGTTGATGTTGCAGTAATTTGTGGCGCTTTTTCCTGGCATTTCCTTTCCATGGCAGTATTATCATTAATGCTCTGCGCTCTCAATATGTCAATCTAAGTGGAAAAGTGACTATGAGAAAAGACAAATACAATATGAATGTTTAATCATTGTTTGCTCAGTTTGGACACAATGTAGAGTACTACTGCGTGCGAATATCTAAATGGCAGGACATAGTAGTCCTTTTAAATTCAAAGTTTAATTTTGCATGAAAAAGTTTCAAAAATGTCTGCTCTTTTTTTTTTTTTTTGATACTTTTGTACTTTTTTTTTCTAGAAGTCGAATACTGACTACACCACTCAAACTCTATACATATACGGGTATATAACAATGTTATAATAAAGTTTATCAAACATGCTTCAAACAGAATGTCATATAGCGTGGAACGTGAATAGGCAGCTATGTTTCTAAGACGGAAAAAGTTTAGTGAAATTTTAAACTTCAACATATAAATCTCAAAAATTATATATTATATGCCAAAGTAAGCAATTTTATCAATTTTAATATGCAGTATTTGATATCTTCCAATCATTCCATTGTAAGCTTTAAGCCTACCTTAATGTAAAATTAATTAGAAATTTAATAATTATTTTATTATCTGAATCCATATTGGTACTTAGCTATCAGTTCTGGTGATCGTTTTGTTGGTCTCTCCAGATTTGTATAAATATACAGAATATGTTTTAAACTTCAGGAATCGATTTCTTAATCTATGAACGAAAAGAATCTCAATGACGAGCATCTATGATGTCAAAGAAGACTTTAACACAAAAAAATAAGAAAAAGAAAACATGTGGTCCAATAACTCTGAATAATCCATTCATCCAAAAATCCATTCATGCAAAAAATCAATTTTCAATATATTAAATATTCTAAATTAATTTAAAACTTATGATGATTGATGTATGATTTGTTTGGAATATCATCTTTCATTTGGCATTAACATTAAAATAATATAAATCTTCCCACTTTCCCCACTCAAACTATTTTTTTCATTTTTTTGACTTTCCAAAGTTAAATTTTAATTCAAATTAGATTTTATTGGAATATTATCGATCATTAAATATTAAATATTAAATTATAATTTCAGTTATCAATTATCCTTAATTGTACATTTTGAATTCTAATTTCTGGTATTTAGACCTCCAGTCACTGGTTGAGCTCGATAGACTGTAACTGCAACACTAAAGGTCTGTCACCCTCATGAACATTTCTGTGCCTGCAAGCCCATGACTTCAGTATATAACTGGCATATCATTCAGAGACTTACTAATCATCTTCTGGTGTCAGCACCATCACAGGTACCTCCTCTAACTCATTCAAATATCTCTCGCTAGGAAGTGTCCAATAATTCATGAAATATTTTCTAAATATTTGAAAAAAAATGTTTGTTGTTGTAGTTCACTACTGTTCGAAAAAACTTCTTTATAATATTTTAAGTTTATTTTAAAATCAAGCGTTATTTAGACGATTATTCTTTGTTAGATCTTTATTTAAGTTATACGCCAACCTCGGTAGTTCATAGACTTCAATAATAGAAAGTATCTAACTTGCTAGTTCTGGATTTTTACATAGAATGTATTTGGTTCCCTCTTATATTTTTTTTGTTTCCTGTTACATTTGCAATTTTGGTTGAAAAGGATATATAATTTTGTGACATATTTGCTTATTAGTCGCTGCTCTATCAACATTATCTCGATTTTAAGGTTTCGATTAATTGTATGGCTTGTTCGTTTGCTTATATTCTCCGGTTCTCTCCACATTTGAGTAACAATTCATGTGCTGAATTATTTTCTAGAGATCAACTCTTGTTATTTTGTATTATCTTTAAAAATAGTGAGAAAAAATAGTTCGTTCTGGATTAATATTTGATATGTGAATTCCAAATTATAAAACATAATTTTGTTCTGCTTAACTAATTTTGCATTCGTTGATTTGATTCTGATACAGAGCAAGACTGGTTGTTGGCTTGTGGAAAATCAAGCAACCAATATCTTTTGTAGTAAAAATTTTTGTCTTGGAAGTGAGCTAGAATTTTAACACTATTGTCTTAGAAGACTGTGATTTGAAATTAATAATTTGAAAGAACTAATCACCTCAGATTTCATATTATGATGGAATCTTATACTTATGTGCATATAAAATATGACAGAGAATACGATCTATTGAGAATAAGATCTATTAAGAAATCAAGTAATAAGTCTCTTGGCATATCGGAGATCAAACTATTAGCTTTTTTTTGGCAAAGATATTGTCTTGGAACAGAGCAAATATATTAACAGTACTGTGGAAGTTTATTCATTTATTGTAGTAACAAAAAACAATTAATTATATTATAAATTAAGATATGTTTATCTGTAGGAGTTAACGCACAGCAACCGTTTAACCGCGCACATATATAAAACCCATTCTGTTATATAAAGCACTGGTTTTTCACCGATGTTTAATAGCCTTTGAATATTTCAAAAAAATTAATCCTGATACTTTATTTTTTCTTGCATGCTACAATCTTTACTAATAATAGTATTATATCCACTATTTTAATGGTCTTAATATATGTGTTCATCCTAAACGGAGTTGAATTTGAAATTCTCATATGTTTTTTAGGCTTTTAAGACTTTATAATGTTATTTCAATCGATTTTTTTTTAAACTTAGCTTAGTTATAGTAACATTATAGTTATATATAATAATAGTAATATTATTATAATTTATTATAGCTATACTAAATTATACTAAATATATAACAATCGGGATACTCCATTGTTAAGATGAAAACACTTCCATCTATTTGAATCATACCAACCATTGTATAGATCTATATAGATTTATACCAGAGAGTGACCATATAAAAATGCGATTCCTATTGTAAAGCTGTTTTCATCTGTTTTTTAATTATTGGGTATAAACATTATTTAAGTATCGATTGAGCCAAATTTTACTTATGCTTTTATTACATTCATAAATGCGAAAAAAAAACTTAGGTGACAATCTCCGTATCCAGAGCAATCCACTTGCAGTTGAAAACAGGACAAAACCAGTGCTTTTAGGAAATTAGTTATCTTTTGTCATAGAAAAATGCATTTAACATACAAATATATGTACGATATAAGCATAATCATTGTATCTATGTTAATGCGTTCATATGTAACTATAGCTAAATGGTTTTCTTTTTATGTAATTTTAAAGCTCGCTTGTATGTTATTGCCATGGCCACTTCCGCTAAAACAAATAATGTCACTGGTGCAGCAATTGTCACCATTACAACTTCATTTTCAGAGTTTCGCTTATCCTGTCCACATCAGTACAAGGTCCAAAGTACTATTTTGAAACACTACATCATAGAATAATCTTCTTAGTTCTTATCTTCATTTGCGTTGCTAACAACAAATATTGTGTTAAGGTACTTACTGTTCTGAATAAGAAATTAGTTGAATATAGATTACAACCACTTTTCAAGCACAACAACCTGAGTGCGAAAAAACTGATCTACAGAAAGCTGATCTACAGTCAGATAATTAGACCACCACTACTTTATGGGTGTGTCGCGTATAGCAAAGCTGCCGACTCTACCATCCAGACGCTACTAGTTGCTCAAAGTCAGGCTCTACGAAAACTCTTTAAAGAGCCATGGTAAGTTCGCATGAATGGCATGCTAAGAGACCTTAGAATAGATCCGATCAAAAAATACGTAAGGGACTGAGCCCTGAAGCTATATGCGAAAACCGACAAGCTGCTATACTTAGCACTATCTGATCTCAGATTAATTACTAACCGGACGGGGCGAAGCTTATGAGGAACACACAAATAAGTCAGTGAGATGGATGGGACTTCCAAGAGTAGAAGTGC